GTTTCCTCCATGTCTTTCCATTGCTTAATCATTTCTTTTTAGTGGTGAATAATATTCCATTGTCTGGATGTACCACAGTTTGTTTATCCAGTCGCCTACTGAAGGACATCTTAGTTGATTCAGGTTTTGGCAATGAATAAAGATGTTATAAACATCCGTATGCAGGTTTTTGTGTGGATATTAAGTTTTCAACTCCTTTGGGTAAATATCAAAGAATGTGATTGCTGGACCAAATGGTAAGAATATTAAATTTTATGAGAAATGTTCAAACTGTCTTCCAAAGGCTGTACCAGTTTGCATTCCCACCAGTAATGAATGAGAGTTCCTATTGCTTCCACATTCTCACTAGCACTTGGTATTGTCAGTGTTACATATTTTGGCCATTCTAGTACATATGTAGTGGTCTCTTGTTGTAATTTGCATTGCCCTGATGACATGGATGTGGAGCATCTTTTTTTTTTATCCTCACCCGAGGACATTTTTGCATTTATCTTCAGATATAGCAGGAGGGAGAGAGAGAGAGAAGAGAGACAGAGAAACATCGATGTGAAACACATTGAATGGTTGCCACCCACATGACCCCAACCGGGGCTGGGGACAAACTGCAACCGAGGTATGTGCCTCTACCGGGAACCAAACCCAGGACTCTGGTCTGCAGGCCGACGCTCCAACCACTAAGCCAACCAGCCAGGGCTGGAGCATCTTTTTATATGCTTATTTTTAATTGGTTTATCATTTTGGTGTTGAATTTTCGGAGTTCTTTGTATATTCTGGATATTAACTTTTTTTATCCTCACCTGAGGACATATTTTCTTTTCTTTTTTTTTTTTTTTGTTCAGATAGAGTGGGAGGGGGAGAGAGGGAGAGAGAGAGAAAAACATCGACGTGAAAGGTACACATCACCTGGCTGCCACCCGCACAACACAACCAGGGCCGGGGACAAACTGTAACTGAGATACATGCCCTTAGTGGGAAATGAACCTGGGTCTCTCTGGACCGCAGGCCAACACTCTAACTGCTGAGCTAAACCGGCCAGGGCTGGATATTAACTTTTTATCAAATGTGTATTTTGAAAATATTTTCCCCCATTCTGTGGTTTGCATTTTCATTCTATCAATAGTGTTTTTTTGTTTTTTTTTAAAGAGGAAACGAGAGAGATAGAAACGTTGATGATTGATCGGCTGCCTTCTGCCTGTCCCCCACTGGGGATCGGGCCCACAACCTGGGCATGTGCCCTGACCAGGAATCAGACCAGTGACCTCTTGGTGCATGGATCGACGCTCAGCCACTGAGCCACACCAGCCGGGCTATCGATAGTCTTTTGATGTATAAAACTATCTCACCTAGTTTTTATGGTTTCATTTTAGTGGAAATGAAAATTCTTAGTCATAGTTGGAATCAGAATCCTCCCCAATAACGTGTATATCTAAGGCCTACAAGGCCCTATTTATCTAACCCTTGACCAATTTTCTGACTCCTAGTCCTCTCTTTTCTCATTTCAATTCAGCCACATAGACCTTCATATTGAATGCTTATTCTCTGGTCCACAGGCCAATGCTCCAACCGCTGAGCCCAAACAGCCAGGGCCCATGTCAGGTTCTTGAACTTATTGTTGTTGATCTCTGCTTCTGGAACATTTTTGCTATGGTCTAAATTTTTGCCCCCCCCCCCCCACCCAAATACATATGTTGAAATCCTAATGCCCGATGTGATGGTATTAGTAGTCGATGGGGCCTTTTGGAGGTGCTTATGTCATGATAGTGGAGTTCTCATGAATTAGTATTTTTATAAGAGACCCCACAGAGTTCCCTAGCCCCTTCCACTATGTGAGAACACAGTGAGAAGTTGGAAGTTTGCAAACTGGAAGAGGGCTTTTGCCACAAATCTAACACGTTAGCACCCTGATCTCAGATTTTCAGCCTCCAGAACTGTGAGAAATAAGTTTATATTGTTGCCATGGCCAGTTTGGATCAGCGATTAGAGCGTCGGCCCGCGGACCAATGAGTCACGGGTTCAATTCCGGCCAAGGGCACATACCTCGGTTGCAATTCGTCCCCGACTCTGGTTGGGGTTGTGCGAGAGGCAGCCACTCGATGTGTCCCTTTCACGTTGATGTTTCTCTCTCCCATCCTCTCTCTCCCTCCCACTCTATCTGAACAAAAATGGGGAAAAAAAAGTCCTCGGGTGAGAATAAAAAAAAAAGTTTATGTTGTTTATAAGCCATCCAGACTGTGGTATTTTTATTATAGCAGCCTGAATAGACTAAAACAACTTTAGATCTAGTTCTTTACATGGTTCTCATTTTTATGCCAATTGACTCACTTATCACTCAGCCTTTCCCTAGCTGCCTTCATATAAAAGTTCCTCCCCGACCCAGCCAATAAAAGAAAATGTATTTTATTTCCTTCATAGCACTTAACACTGCCTATAATTATCTTGTTCTTTGTTTACTATCTTATTGTTTATCATATAAGCCATTTCTTTTTTTTTAAGGTAAACACTTTTTAAAAACATATGTTTTTATCGATTTTTAGAGAGTGAAGGAGAGAGAGATAGAAACCCTGATGGGATGTCTTCTGCATGCCTCCCACTCGGGATGGAGCCTGAAACCCGGGCATGTGCCCTGACCAGGAATTGAACCAGTGACTTCATTTTTTATTTTATTTATTTATTTTTATCCTCACTAGAGGACTTTTTTTTTTTGCATGTATCTTCAGATAGACCAAGAGGGAGATAGGGAGGAAGAGAGAGAGAGAAACATCAATGTGAGAGAGACACCGACTGGCCGCCACCCACACGACCCCAACTGGGGCCGGGAACAAACTGCAACCGAGGTACGTGTCCTTAGTGAGAATCAAACCCGGGACTCTGGCCCACAGGCTGATGCTCTAACCGCTGAGCCAAATCGGGCAGGGTGAACCAGTGACTTCTTAGTGCATGGGTTGACGCTCAACCACTGAACCACACCGGCTGGACATAAGCCAGTTCTTAAGCAATACCTTGGCATGTAAAAAAAAAAAAAAAGAAAGAAAGAAAAAAACTCAACAGATACCTATTGAATGAATTAGAAAAAAGAGGATCGAAAAACTAAGGATACAATAAAGGGTAAAATGAATTCCTAGTTTGTGACAGAGGTACTATATTTTATCTTGAAAAGTCAACGAGACCCAGACTAGGTCAATCCTCTTTCCACTGATTTGGGGGTTTGTGCCTTATGAAAGGTCTAAGCTTGCTGCCACAGCCTGAGCTGGCCAGGTTCCCAGATTTCTCATGATTTCCTGCTTCTTGGTCATTGTGATTTCAAGATAGGCTCATATACTCCTCCCTATCTCCAGAGGCAATCTGTGGCTGGGCAGACTGAGAGATAGGCAACTGCTAGCTTCTCTTAGCACATTGTCAATTTCTAGCCTTAAACTGGTTTGAAATAATCTCCCACTTGTTTTCTCAGTACATACAGATCCATCATTAAAAAATAACGGCCTTACTGGGCCTGTGTGGCTCAGTGGAGTGAATGTCATCCCATGGACTGAGAGGTCCCAGCTACATATCAGGCCAGGGAACAAGCCTGGGTTTCAGGCTCCATCCCCAGTAGGGGGCGTGCAGGAGGCAGTCAATCGATGTATCTTTCTCACGTCAATGTTTCTCTCTCTAAAAAAGTCAATAAAAACATTTTTAAAAAGAAAAAGAAAATTAATGGTCTCTAGTGACCTTTAAAGAACATCTGGTGATGTATCTTGCTTGCCTGATTGAAACGTACGCCATGTATCAGTTGTTGATATGTACATTTACCTGGTCTACCCTGGACTGCTTTAGTCAATGTTTAAGATGAGCAGGAATCTCAGGACCGTTTTATGGCAGTAGCAAATGTGAGTGTTCTGGAGCCAAAATGCCCTCATTCTCAGCTAGATACCTAGAGTCAGTCACAGTGGGCAGTTTGTATCCCCCATAATTTTCAGTCTCAGGGGCTCCTTATGAAGCCTCATCTGACATCTCAGGCTCTAGTTATGTCTGGTCTGTTTTTGTCTGCTCATTTGTGGGTCAGCACAGCCAAAGCTTCATTTTTGACCAGTTCATATCACATACTCCAAGCTGCTATCATTCCCTCAACATGCTGGATTGGCAGAGTAGGATAAAAGTACACCAGGGCAGTGGGAAGTCCCAGGGATTTTCTGAGCCCAGGCTGGCAAAGTTCATCTTGGGCAGGTCATTTAATCCTGCTGTGCAGAATTTACCATCTCTGCCATTCTTCCGTTTAATTAGAACCCAACCCAGTCCTGTTGCTTACAGTTAGGATTCAAGCACAAAAGGCTTCACAGTTGGTGTATAATTCTGGCTATAACTTTGAATTCCATATTGTGGGCCAGGCATTTTAATATTATTATTTCTAATCTTCACAATTATATTTTACATTAGAAATCCTCCTCCTCTTTCGCAGACAAGGAGAATGAGGCTCGAAAAAGTTAAAGGACTTGTCTAGTCTGCCAAAGAGTAAGGATTATAAGGGGTCTTTTCATACCCCGGAACCTGTGCTGCTCCTAACCCTGATTCAATGCTGCCTTCTCTGGGTAAGAAAGACTTTTGAGGCAGGTTGAAAGAAGCAGGGAAAGATGCAAGAAGAAACTCTTAGATTCTAAGCACACCTGATCGTGTAAAGTTCACCTCTATACTGAACGGGCAACATACTCTACCGGCCATCTTGGTTGTGGCAACCGCTATTCCTTTTTATTTTTCTGTGACGACGACCAAGGGAATAAGGCAAAATTGCCCAACCTGGGCTTTTTAAGGAGCACCAGCAACTCCCCCGGCAAGGAGCGCGGCTTCCTGGCCAGCGGAAGTCCTGGGCGTGGGTCATTCCGAGCGCGGTCTTCTGTTCCCAACTCGCGATTCAGCGCGAGCCGGGGAGGGGCTCTGGTGGGTCCGGCCGGTCCCCGCCCGCGGCCACGCCCCCTCATTTAAATACGCGGCGCCGGCGGCTGCGTCGAGCTCGCCGCGGACCCAAGATGGCGGCGTGTGGACGTGTACGGAGAATGTTCCGCTTGGCGGCGGCGCTGCAGCTGCTGCTGCTCGCGGCGGCTGGGGCCGAGAAACCCCCGAGCCAGGGCGGCCACATCCAGGGCCAGGGCCCGGGGGCCAACTTCATGCCCTTCGTAGGGCAGGCTGGAGGCGGCGGACCGGCGGGTCAGCAGCTGTTCCAGCTGCCTCAGTCTTCCCAGCTCCAGCAGCAGCAGCAGCAGCAGCAGCAACAGCAGCAACAGCAGCAGCAGCAGCAGCAGCAGCAGCAGCAGCAGCAGCAGCAGCAACCACCTCAGCCGCCGCAGCCGCCTTTCCCGGCGGGTGGGCCTCCGGCCCGGCGAGGTGGAGCGGGGCCTGGCGGCGCTGGAGGAGGCTGGAAGCTGGCGGAGGAAGAGTCCTGCAGGGAGGACGTGACCCGTGTGTGTCCCAAACACACCTGGAGCAACAACCTAGCGGTGCTCGAGTGCCTGCAGGACGTGAGGGAGGTGAGGAGGCGGGACGGGCTGGAAGGGCCAGGCCTGGTGCGGGCCGGAGGGTGTCGCCAGCTTTGGAAGCCGCTGACGCTAGTCCGCTGCTTCTCGCTTCCTCTGTGCTGTACTCGCTCCTTCCCTCGGTGTCCCTCTCTCCCCCGCTCATTCCAAGAAGACGACCCCACCCCCACCCCTTATTCCCTCCCTGGTGCGGGGATACGGGACGCGGACCCCAGCTCCTGGCCGCAGTCTGCGAAGGCCCAGAGCGTGTTTATGTTTGCTTCGGTCTTTTGTGTGATGCTCTAAGCACAGTGGCTCCTCTCTGAAGACCTGTTCAGGATTTTGCCATTCGATTCGATTTGACAATTTGTAGCAGCCCTCTTTTAACATGAAAATGGTTGGCGCTCTTAAGCTGTTAAAGAATGAACAGTTTATTGCCAGAAGATATTTGTTTAGGTAACTTGGGTTCTGTCTGATGTGTATTGTAGTCAATAGCTGAATTTACTGTCTTGTAATTCGAAAAATTTTTTTATCTACCGGGTGCTGAAACTAGTGTATGCCCCCTCCCCCTTGACTTCTTTTGGTCTTTTTGTACTGTATCTCAAGTTTACCCTATTACTCTAAGTGATTTAGAGTCCCAGAGCTTGAAAAGTTGGGGCAACATTCGAAGCTGTAATACATATACAGTATTTGTGATTGGGTTGTGGGGTCTTGGTTTTCTGACGTCTGAATATGATTTTAACATTTCATTTAACCTCTTAATGAAATGTAGGTTTGTTGTTATTTGACGTGATTCAGATAAGTGACAGAGCATTTCTTCTCTAGATTTAATGCTGCAGACAATATGTGCATATATGACAATTCTCAAAGTTTAGGAGCAAATATGGTAGGACTACTTTTTAAAAAAGGTTTATTTAGAATTAGGTGACAAGTAGAATCAAGTTGCTGTATGATACAATTTTGTTTAGCAAATAGTATCATCAGAGTTGTCTAAGGTGTTCATGGTTATGGGAAGAGCACTGGTTTGTAGAAAATTGTTATTCTTGGCATTTGATTCCACTCCACCCCCTAGAGTGATATTTGATCTAGTATTCCATACAAAGTAATTCAGGAGAGAAAAAGACATACCTAATCAGGAGACAGAGAAAGAAAGTTTCCAGAGCCCACAGAAGTGTGAGGCCTTCAATGACTTTTCAGCCACAACCTGAAAACTAGAAGGGTCATAATCTCTTGTTATTCTTTATTCTTCCACTATTCTTCTAGTAGATACAGCTAAGATTCGTAACTCTTGTAAAGCTTTTTGGAATTTTCCGTTTGGTCGTTGAAGATACATAATAGAAATTGTTCCCTGACACTAGCATCCTGATATTGGTGATCAAACACATTGTTAGTGGTTTGTGGCACATTCAAAGAGTACATGTCTCTGTGTGCATCAGGGACATATGGAAACCTCCACTTGCAGGAATAGTCTTCCTTTGTCATGCATATAGAAGTGTGTAGCAGTACATATAATCCATAAACAGATCTGACCACTTTTGAAGTCTGTTAATTTAGTCGGTACTATCTTTTTGGCATTAATGTAAAGAACCTGGCCTGGAAATGTAGTCCTTACTTCACCTTTGCCTGTAAGATTGTCAGCAAGGATATTGTTTCAGTAACTACATTTTTCTTCCTATATGGGATGATATGTAAACTCTTTGAGGGTAGTGACTGCATCCAATCTTACCTTTGTGACTTTTCCAGAGTAGCTAATTCAGTGCTGAGTCAGTTAATATTGTCCACTGATTGAAGATGAGTAAACTAATGGAGTCAGTTTTATATTCCAGAGGAAGAAAAGGTGTCATATAAATTGGAGGTGGGGGTATTTTGGAGGTAAGGAGATTCTAAAATTTCAATATAATTAATTTCCTCCAATTGTATATACATAAAAATAAAGAAGAGTACCATGAACAACTGTGTATATTCTTCAGAAGGTGGAGCTATTTTTAAATACTTTTTTTTCTTTAAAGACAGCAGAGGAAATTTTATTCCACTAGTTTGAGAATTAGTAAAATCTGATTTAAGTGTTTGAAAGAGCATAACTTAAAGAAGTAAACTAGATAGGCACATTTGAAGTGAAATTATGGAATGTGTTTTGTATTTGCTGTTTAGTAAATAGGTCTATTTGATAGTAAAGTAGACATGAACTTCTTTATCCTTTTGCATACAAATTTGAGGAAGATTTTTCTCTGTGTACTTGCTATTAGAATTATGAAAAGGCAAAGCATGTGGGTATTTAAATGGTGCTGTATTGTAAACCACATTTTTATTTTGAAACAACATGGGGGTATATAGTGTTAGGTTAAGACTTTTTTTAAATGTATTTTTTTATTACAGTTTGTAGTCAACACTTTTTGTATTAGTTTCAGGCGTATAGCACAGCAGATACACATTCATATAGGTTACCAGGTTAAGTCTTAAATTTAAATATGTCAAGGTTCTCTGTAGTGTAGTGTTCAAAGGTATGTAGCAGTTCACTTACAAAATGTACTTAAAGGCATTATGGTTACCTTTAAATAATTTCAGCTGATACTTTCAGTTTGACTAATACATCATATGCCGACAAAAGTATATGTAGAAACTATAATAAAACTGCATACAGACTATAGATTGATTCACAACTTTTTCTCAGTGAGTGTAGCCATTATTTTTGAAGGTTATGTTATGTGGGGGATTCTTCCTTCTTTATTAAAAATATTTTTTCTTTATAGAAAGAGAGGAAGGGAGAGAGAGAAACATCAATGAGAACACTGATTGGTTACCTCCTGTACAACCCCCACCAGGGACTGGGCCCACAACCTGGGCATGTGTGCTGATGGGGAATTGAACTGGTGACCTCTTGGTGCATAGGTCGTCACTCAACCACTGAGCCACACTCCAGGCTTTTTCTTCTTTTTAACACTGTCAGATGAGTCATGTTTTTTAAAAAGGTCAAATACCCACTATTAAATAGTAGGTGTCGTAATAGTAATGGTAGGATAGTAGTGTCCTGGTGTGTGTGTGTGACTATTAGTAGTTCTAGCTAATGAAAAGGAAAAAATACACTGTGAGCTGTTCAGGTGGAGGAGTAGTAATACCAAAGCAAGAGAAGTTACTGCTTCTAGTTAGTATTTGATAAAAAATAAATGACATGCTTATCTTGAGAGTGATTTTAAAATACTTTATGTGTTTTTTGGTTGAAATAACCAGTAGTATGTTGTGTTTTGAAGTTTTATTTTTATTTTTTTATCCTCACCCAAGGGTATTTTTCCATTTTTTGTACAGATAGAGTGGGAGAGTGGGAGGGAGAGAGAGGAAGGGAGAGAGAGAGAGAAACATCGACGTGAAGGGACACATCGAGTGGCTGCCACCCGCACGACCAACCAGGGCCGGGGACAAACTGCAACCGAAGTACGTGCCCTTAGCGGGAACCGAACCCTGGTCTCTCCAGACCGCAGGCTGACGCTCTAACCGCTGAGCCAAACCGGCCAGGGTGTGTTTTGAAGTTTTAGATGGAGACAGACATTGGTTACTTAGGAGAAGTTTATTAGTGCTGTGCATAGTTTTTCTTAGTTTTTGTTGTTGTTAGATTTAAAAAATCCTTTTTAATTTGGAAATTTTCAAACATACACAGAAGTAGAGAGAGTAGTATGATGACTCCCCATGTCCGCATCACCTAGCTTTCAACTATCTTGTTGGGGTGGGGCACAGGGTTTGGGATACTGGCATATTTTAGCAAATCCCAGACACTGTCCTTTTTCTTTAGTACTTCAATGTATGTCTCTGGTCAGGATTTAAAAAAGAAAACTAGAGGCCCTGGCTGGGTAGCTCAGTTGATTAGAGTGTCATCCCAATATACTAAGGTTGTGTTTTTGATCCTCAGTCAGGGCACATACAAGAGTCACCCAATAAATGCATAAATAGATGGAACAACAAATCAATATTTCTCTGTGTGTGTGTGTCTGTCTCCCCTTTCCTTTCTAAAATCAATAAACAGAAAATTAAAAACAAAAAACGAGTACCTGGGAAAACTGGTAAAATTGGAATAAAATCTGGAAGGAAAAAAAAAGAAAAGAAAACCTAGAACCTAAGTGTTATTTTTAATATTAAAAAGCATCATGGCGCTGGCTGGTTTGACTCAGCAGTTAGAGCATCGGCCCTCCCACGAACGAGTCCCGGGTTCCATTCCGGTCAATGGCATGTACCTCAGTTGTAATGAGCTCCCCAGTCCTGGTTGGGGTTGTGCGGGAGGCAACCAATCAATGTGTCTCTCTCACGTCGATGTTTCTCTTTCTCTCTCCCTCCCTCTCTCTCTTTCTTTCCCCCTCCCACTCTATCTGAAGATAAATGGAAAAATGTCCTCCGTGAGGATTTAAAAAGAAAAGGCATCATGGAATATTTATTCTGAATTTCTTGGTATCTTCTCTTGATGTATCAATTTCAGATTTCAAATTTGTGAACCACTGTCTCTAAGCTATGCACCGAGTGAATGCTTTGTAAATATTTATTTAAGATGGACTATTTTATATATTGAACAGGAGTTAACATTTCAACATTACAAACCACTTTCAAACTCATAGGTAAACATTTTTCTTACTGTATTTTTTTTAAGGAGAGAGAAAGGGAGGGAGAGCTAGAAACATCGATCCTCTGCCTCCTGCATGTTCTCCACCGGGGATTGAGCCAATAACCCAGGCATGGGCCCTGACCAGGAATTGAACAGGACCTCTCAGTCCATAGGACAGTGCTCAATCCATTGAGCCACACAGGCCTGGCTCTTATGTGTTCTTAACCTTCCACTTAACTATGTCCTAAGATAATATACCACACTATCTTCATTATTTCATTTAATACTTTTGATTTGCCCTGTGAGGTGGATAGTGTTATCTTTTTTTCCCTTTTTCTTCATTTTAAATATGTTTTTTATTAATTTTAGAGAGAGAGGAAGAGAAACATTGATTGACTGCCTCCTCCACGACCCTACTGGGTATCAAGCT